TGAGCAGTAGGTGCTGTGTCTAGTGCTGGAGATAAAACAGGAAGGGCAGGAAGAAGAGAAACAAGACATAGACTGACATATAAAACCCTGTTGGGGATTTTAAAAAATAACAGTTATGATATTTGGATTATATATTTGTATTACAATAGATGTATATCATAAGGTTAATATAGAAGCAAAAGGCATTTTAATTTTGAATCTACTGTCTAGCTGAACTATTTAGCTTTAGAAATAGACCATGCATTCAGTGGCCCAATATCAGAATAATACTGAGAACTGTGAAAAGAAATGGAAATAACCTAGGAAAATGTGCACTAGCTCAGCTTTGCATCCCGTCTCAGGGCTTTACTGCAATAATCACTCATCTTACCATCTCCAGCCATTGTGTGGTCAGTTTATTTTAGCAGTATCCAGCTGACATACTTTCTAGTTTTCCTTGTATCTCTGAAATTAGCAACTAGGCTCCTTAAACCCTTGGGGACTGCTGAAGGACTCTGGATTTTCACTGCGTAGATAAAAGGCCATAAGGCTATTATATGAGTTTGTGTGTCTGAGGGGTCATGTAGAACAACGTCACACTAAAACAGACTTGAAACAATGAAATAAATTATGAGGCAGATTTCAATTCAGTGCAGAAATCTGTCTGGTAACATGGTTAAAATGGACGTGCTGACCTCCCTGTCACTCCATGAGATGAACAGTTCTACAAGTCCATCGGTGTGTGTGACAGGTGAGGCTGTTTACCAAGTGACTAGGGAAGTTTTGCTATGCAGCCTCTCTAAACCATCAGAATTTGAGCTGCGAGTGGGATCTCATCTAACTACTTGTTTTCAAAGTAGTTTAAGATAATGTAGAACTTCCCAAGGGATTAGCTTCTGAAATAAAATTTCAACTGTAAGTAAAAATCTGGCTAAAAGAGAACCTGGTTTGTCAAAAGAAAAAGACCCTTCAGAAGTAGTACAACCTTGATAACGTTATCCCATGGATAAAATTGTTGCAGTTTACAGGAGACATAAAGGCTAATGTGCTTTTCAGCTGCAAGGCAGTACCAAGTCTATAGCACACTTTTAAACTTCTCTGGTTTCCCTCTAACTTTTGAGAAGGGGACTTCTGGGCTCTATTCAAGCTCCTGTCTCCCTGAGCATGTGCTGTTTCAGTTTCTATTACAGACAAGCATTCTTTTCCATGTGGGTATTTTTTGCTTTATACTGAACATGTTTAAACTTACAGATCCAATCTAACACCTTCAGAAAAGCTAATGACCAAATAACACAATTCTCTAGATCTTCCTGAGAAATCAATGAATGTCACCTTGCATCTCAGATACTGCATTTCAGCTGCATGTTTTAATTACAACCAACAAAATTAGAGTATAGAATTTTAAATTTCAACTTTTTGTTTTTCATAACCTTCACTTGAGTATATTTAGGGAAAAAATCAACAGGGAGCCTCTTTATATTTTTAAGGCAAAAACATTTTAAATAAAAAAATTTACTTATTAGTTTTATTGTTAGTGTATGAATGTATTGCCTGCATGTGTGTAAGTGCAGCCATGTCACGCAGTGCCCATGAAGGTCAGAAGAGTGTGTCAAATTCCCATAGAACTGGAGTTATGGACCTTTGTTAGCCACCATGTGGGTGCTGGGAATTGAACCTGGGTCCTCTACAAGAGGAGGCAGTACTCTTAACCACTGAGCCATCTCTCCAGCCCAACAAAAACAGTTTAATAAAATCTCTCAGTTTGTGTGTGTGTGTGTGTGTGTGTGTGTGTGTATGCTATATAACAGCACACAGACATACATCAATGATTTCTTAGAGAATAACAACATGACTGGAAACCATACCAATTGCATGCTGATAAATGGGATTGGTGTCCAGGAGTGCATTACTGTCTGCAGTGAGTGGCAGGCAGGTTTCAGGCCCAGTTGCCCATGTGTTCCCACAGGCATTTACATTCACAGCCCCTGCTACTTCATTCCCAGGTTTTTTTATCTGAGGCCTTGGGCAAGAGCGTGGTTCAGGAGACTGTAGGAGATGCCTAAGATACCTCCCCCACCACATGACTGCCTAGTGCCTTCCCCTTCTATTCCTTCCCCTGCTCACTCCATTTGACTCCAGGGTTCCTAAAACTGGTGGAGCCTCTTGTCTAGGGCTTCTTCAACAGAAAACCAAGCCCCACTTTGTCTCTCTTCCAGCTGGTGCTGGACCACAGCTCTATTCTATAGGGGAAAAACAGACAAGAGGAATGGGCACTTCTTCTGGATTTAGACTCTTGTTATGCTACTGAAAAAACAGTTTAGCTGTCTCCTTTTGGCATGTTGCTTTACTTTGTTGGCTATTGACAACGCAGACAGCTCAGTTTAATTAGTGGTAATAACATTTAAGTTGAGTGATATAATAAAGCTGCTTTGAACGTTCTCCATAAAAATGTATTAAAAATTAAGTTCTGTGGAACTCATGTGGGGAGCAAAACTATGACAAAATCACAAAGAAGCAACTATTTCAATTGCTGGCTCAGACTGACTCTAGAATATAAGATCAAGCAAAGTGTGGAGCTACTTTCACAAGGATATTCTTTTAAACTTCTGGGATAAGAGCTTGGGGTGATGGTACATAACTGTGATTCCAGTACTTAGGAGGCAAAAGCAAGAAAATTCCAAATTCAAGGCCACCTTGGGCCACAAAAGAATACTGCCTCAAAAAAAAAAAAAAGGTTTTGGGGAGGCAGAAATATAAGAGAATCTTCTAGAGAATACAAGTTATACATGTTCTCTTTCTTGGTATGAAATACTATAAATAATGCTGAACTTTCTCAGACTTGATTATCTATTATGTTTTAGGCTAAGTATAATGTTTTTAAATCTATGTTTACTAAGTGTACAGATAATAAATTTTTTGTTGATAACCATATTATAAAAGTTTGTGTTTACATAATATTCTTAAACTACTTTCTTTATTCAAAATACTGTAAAGTTGGTGCTTAAAGTACTCACTTTAAATATAAGAGATTTTGTGCCTAATTAATTTTTTTTCTTCAAGCATACATATTCTGCATGAATCTGATTTAGATCTGTCACTGCTGTGTTAATCTTGTTGATATGTAGAAGTTCTTCATGTTCCCTGAAGAGCATGGTTCCCATATCTGGAATTTTCCTACCAGGCCTCATGACATCATATGTGGTCAACACAGGGCTCAGTGGGTAAAATACAAGCATGAGAAGCTGAATGTGGATTCCCAGCAGCCAAGCAAAAACCCAGATGCAGCACCGTGCCTCTATAAGCCCAGTTGTGGGGAGAGGGGGAAGACAGATTCCAGGGCCTCACTGGGCACCAAGTATAGCTAAAGCAGCAAGCTCCAAGTTTACTGAGAGACCCTGTCTCAAAAAATATGGTGGAGAATAACAGAGAACACCTGCCACTGACTTTGGCTGCATCTGCACAAGAACTGATGAGTGCGTTCACATGTTCATATACATGTGTACACCAGACATACAAATGTAAATATACACACAAATGGTTAAAAAAAGATGAATAATAGTAGAGGACATGAAGTCACTAGGAGCAGGGGCTTAGGGTGATTTAGTAAGGTAAGGTGGAGCATGAGGAGAGGTCTGAAAATGTTCAAAATACATTGTATGAAATTCTCAAATCAATAAAAATATTTTTTTAAACTTAAAAAATTATTTATTATTTTTAATTTATGTGTATGCGTGTACTGCCGCATGTAGGTAAGTGCAACCATGTCGTGCAATGCCTACAGAGGTCAGAAGAGGCTGTTGGATCCCCTGGGACTGGAGTTACAGACAGTTGTTAGCTGCCATGTGGGTGCTGGGATTCGAACCCGGATCTTCTGCAAGAACAACCACTGAGCCATGTCTCTATCACCAATAAAAAATATTCTTAAAAATTAAAAAATTACATGTTGTTCATGGCGTAACAAACAGCAGTTCTAAAAGATGAAATTATATTTCATGTCCATATTGCATGATCACATTGTAACACATTCTCATAGTTGAATGTGTTAGCCAGTGCCTTGATTTTGATGGTTCTTCATATAGCACAATTAACTATCATTTACAATGTGTTTTCACATTAGCTTATTTGACATTTATAATATCCATATCAATTACATATGGCAGAACAAAGCATTTCTATTGTATAGATCTGAAAATAAGCAAAAAGAGCTATGATATCCCTGAAGTTATCACCTACCTAGACCTGAACTGAGAAACTAGTATTCTCAGGCTACTGTGCATCTCTGTGACACTATATGCACAAGCTCTGTCCCTTTCTACTTGTCCTGAACTTAAGGCACAACTTCAAGATATGAAAACTGGATAAAATGAGCACTAAATGAATTAAAATGAGCACTAAATGAACGATACTAAATGAATCATTAATCTTCTAGAAGTGTGCCATGCTTTTACCACATACGTATTTTGTCAATCTCGTATTTTGGAAAAGTCAATTAATTTTTATCATTTTAAAGTAAATGTATTTTAAGTGATAGATAAAACAAAGTTACACGTATTAATGGAGTGCCATGTTACGCTTTAAAATAAGTATATATTATATAATATTTAAGTTGGTTAAATGTATTTTCACCCCAAATATTTGTCATTATTTTACAGTAAAAAGATGCAAAACTTTTCCCCCAAGGTTTCTGAAAACTGCAATGAATTACAGTAATATGCAGTCACTCTACTGGACTATGCACACCAGAATTTCTTGCTCCAGAACTGTAACTTAGCCCTGCTGATCTTCTCTCTATTTCTCTTCCCAGGTAAAGTTACTTACGGTTTCTCTCAAACTTACTTTTAATGTATAATCTTCATATGTACCCTTACAGATTTCGGCAAAGAGATCATTACCAACATTCTACTATTGATCAAAAAAGAAATATATTTCAACTAACATTTCCAAAGTAGAAAGAAGTAGGCTGTAAGAATATACTTGGATTAAGTTACATGACTATATGATTTTGGTATTAGTTTCCTTACCTCCAAAAAGATGGAACCCTTTTCTGCAGCTTGGTAAAGGCCATTTTGCAGAGCTGGATTTCTGAAAGCTTTGTTTTATTTTCAAATATTCTTTAGTAAAGAATGTCTTTGTGGCATTGTTCAGTTCTAGAGTAAAACAAAAGAAAGCAGCATTTTAAACATTAACTTTAATAAAATGACAAGAATATGGCACAATGATTGCCATAGTATTTGCTAGCAAGTTTAGATCTCTTTAAGTCTGTGAGTACAAAAACAATTTTAAAACCTCAAATATGAGTCACGAAAATTCATCTCTGATGCACCTCTGATATGCTTAGGCATAGAATATATGTTTATTGAGCAGCTCCTGTGTCAGTAACTATGCTAAGCAGGAATGGAATGGCAAGTACAACAGTCTGCTTGACTCTCAAAAGTGGAAATAAACAGGTAGACTCAAAGAGCTGTGTGTTAGGACTGCAGCAATAGCACAGCTAGAGTGCAGTCAAGGCACAGGGGTGATGTGAAAAGGAAATTCTGTTTAGAGCTTTTTCCTCCATGATGTGTTTTATTCTATGTTTGATGGGTTGAACACATACTGAGTGTAATGCTATAGCTTTGAGAGTTTTAAAAAAGTAAAACAAGTCCTCAATGTTTCAAAAGCTTTGCTAGTGAGCTAAAAAGGGAATATTCATTTGAAGTACCCACAGGCCAATCAGAGGCTGTGCATGGCCTTCCCTTCATGTACCAGACAGTCTCAATCAGAGCTACAGAAAGGCAGGTATAATCAGAATCACACTGCCCAATGCAAAGCTCTTCTGGGAGAGGAGAGCACAGGGTTACTAATTTCCGAAGCAAAGCAGCCTCTCCATCAGTCAGCCCCTGTTCATATTTAGCACTTAGAGCCTCTTCAGGTTCCTTCATACCTCTACGGCTGAGCTTCAACCTACCATTACGTCCATTAAATTCCCTGCCCTCTCTTCTAATCTTTGCCTTGGATTGAGTCTTAAGAAATTCAAAGGAAAAACCAATTCAAAAGTTTACAATAACAACAAAAGAACAATGTAAAAAATAGACTAGGCAAGTGAGGCTATGTATTAAAATTGTAACTCCAGCCCCATTCCTATGAGCCTATGAGCTCATACCTATGAGCCAATAATTCAAACGTACAAGTTAGAAAAAAAAGAGGTATTTTTAGTCTGTACACTTATTTAAGCTGGGGTTGTTATAGATACTGCATCCCCTGTCCTTTATGAGTTTAATAGTTAACTGCTTTCAGGTTGGATATTCTTGTGCTAGTTTTTGCAGTAACATACAGATGTTCTAGCAAAGTCCACACTGTCCATAAACAACTCCTCAAGTCAAGACAGTTAAGGCAATATCACCTATTTTAAAGGGATCATCATCATCACCTTACCATCATAGGCACCATTCATACTGATGGAAAGGATTAAAGAAGTCATCAAATGACTCCAAACACATTTGTTTAAAATATAAATGATCTTCTTGCAGTATTTACCTTTAAGGGTTGACTGTAATTTGCATAATTTTCTGAGAAATTAAATATCCGAGCATTAGTGAAAATAACACAAAATTCTAAATCCTTATAAACAGATTTAGAAGGTGGAAGGTCAATAAAAACTCTGTGTTAGGCTGGGGCTGGAGAGATGGCTCAAGAGTTAAGAACACTGGCTGCCAGGTTCAGTAACCAGCACCCACATGGTGGCTAACAACCATCTATAACTGCAGTTCCAGGGGCTCTGACATCCTCTTCTGACCTCTGTAGGCACTGCACAACACAGGTACACTTACACACATGTAGGCAATATACTCATACACATAAAATAATGAAATGCTGCTTCTGTGGTTATCATGTTGTTATTAAATTTAAAAAAAAATTAAAAATTCTAGAAAGTTGAAACATAAAAAAATAATAAAAATTTTAAAAAGATTTCTTGTTAGGGACAATATAAACTTAGTGGAAGAGCTTATAACTCAAGAATTATTACTTTTCTCCATTTCCTTTCCTTTTCTCCCTCTTCTGGGAATCTTTTAGCCATATTATAAAATGTTGATGCAGTAAACAAAGATGCCATCACACACTGTCTCTTATTTGAAAACTTATTTGGAAATATAGTTAAACTCTCTTGCAACAGATCAAAAAATACAAAAATCTCCCAATTCCTTCAGTTTTGATTACTGGCCAGAAGCTTTTTCTAGGGAGTAGATGTGGGAAGTAAAAGGAGTAACGGTGCCTATGATATTCCATTTCCTGTCTTTAATGAACTTGGTATAACTTTAAACAATCAACGAAACTTTTAAAACAATTTAATGAAATAGTTAAGTGGAGAAAACTAGGAATAGAGTCATTACTGAGATTTGCAAGGTGGATGAAAATTATCATATATTCACCTATATGCCTACAACATAATCTTACAACAATAATAGCTTTGGATGGTTTAATTTACTAAATTTGAGCAGAGAGACCTTTGGACATAAGAGGATTTGGAAGCCCTTGCTGCATTTATTGCTGGGTCAAAAGAGCTGGGTTTAGTGCTTTGTCACTATAGGACCATCCACAAGCCACTAAGCTGTTTTTTGTACCCACTTCCTGCTTTATCTCTAGTAAAAATTTACTTTGCATAAGCTATATGCCTGGCACTTCGATGCTCTATTTAGGAACAGAGAGATGAATTCAATGTACTTCCTGTCTAAAAGGCATTCTATTAGATCCATGCTTCCAAAATACCTGGTCATTTGTCAAAATCCCCTTGCACATTCACTCAGATGTACTGTCACAGTATTGCTGTGTGTGATCTATGAGCTTGTGCTTTCTAACAAGATCCTTGAGTGATTCTGACACATAGCTAGATTTGATAGCCACTCAGTGAGTGACAAACCCTTTTCTGTTGTAATATTATTTGAATATATTTAAATATATTAAGCCCTGTCTTAGTTCTCTATACATGTTTAACACCCTTACCGAGGATGATATTCTCCTCTAGACTTGTTTCATTTCAGTGGCATTTAGGCTTGAAAAAGCAGAATTTAGCAACATAGAACTCTCAACATTACATTTCTTAAAATAACTTGTAAGAAATGCCAGGAAAATTCTGAAGGCAGTATAATAGGTGTTGAAACCATCTGCATCCCTTTTCAGTGAATGCTACCAACCGAGAGTGTTTCTTATTACAATATAGATTATCAAATGTTTGATATAATCAATAATTAATAATATTAATTGTGCTGGATAACATTTAAAATAGTGAATGCCCTAGAAGTCTCTAAGTCTGTTCAGAAAATACACTTACTTAAAGTGGTGGAAACTACAGCATCTTTATGTGATGCTATCATCAGGTAAGCAGTCAGGGTTGGGGAGTCAAGTGGTTATCATGCAAGCATGAGGACTTGAATTCTATCCCCTGCAGGCATATAAAAAGCTGAGTATAGCAGAACATGCCTGTAATCTGAGGTGGGAAGATGGAACCGGGATCTGTGGGCTTGCTGGGCAGCTGTTCTAGCTGGTCAGTGAGCTCCAGGTTCACTGAGTGTCTCAAAAACTAAACTAGAGAGAAACTGAGGAAGACACTGGAAACTTACCTGTAGCTTCTAGCATACAGTCACACATAATGTGTACAAACACACAAATTGTCATTACTTTTAGTGGAGACCAAATTCTCTCAGGTTTCAGTAGGTTCAAGCAAGATAAGAAATTGTCACTTTCTTGACATAACCAGAATTCCCATCATTACACAGGTATTATGATGGAGTTCAACAACAATAAGAAAAAGACCACTGTATGTGTAATAGGGTGATTTGGGATTAGAGACTGAATTAAGATGGCATATAACTTTAATTCCACCTTTGGGTTTACATGTTGGTGACTTTATATTTAAACACCTCATTATGGGAAATATTTATTAAGCATAGTTCCTAATACCCTGCCAACTGTAGAAGTTAAAGTTCTGTAACCAGCATGGTACCTGTATTCAATCCTATCTAGTAAAAAGACAATCCTAATGATAGGAGCTAAGGCTTCTAATAGGGCTAATTCAGGGTGCCTTAGACCTAAGTCAAAAGAGATGATATGACTTTTATAAATAAAAAGGTGGAGTTAATAGACACAATGGTATTATACACTAATTTAAAAGGCTATTTCATTCAGATTGTTAAAGTCCTTGTTGACCCATTTAAAATTATTTTGTGTATAGGAGTGTTTTGCCTGTAGGTATTTAAGTGCATCCATACTGTGCAATGCTTGTGGAGGTCTGAAGAGGGCATGCGATCCTCAGGAACTGGAATTTCGGACCATTGTTCCCTGCCATGTGGGTCCTGGGAACTGAAATGAGGTTCTCTGCAAGAGCAGTCAGTACTCTTAATCACTGAGCCATTTCTCCAGCCTCATGTTAAAAGCATTCTTAATTATTTCTTTCTCATTTTTACAAAATCTTTTTTCCCAGTATTCACTTCTCAGTCCCAAGTTGTTTGATACATAATTTTTCATTTTTTTCCCTCAGAGATACAAAGTACAAAAGAGCAACCTGACAAAAAGGGAAACTTTCAAAAGATAAAAATAATAGGCTATTCTTCCAAGAGTCTGAATTATATAATTAGGAGGGATCATTACTTTTAGAGGAGACCTAACTCTCAGGTTTCAGTAGGTCCTCTTTAGGAGCTGTTGCTAAATCCTTGTCACTTAACTTTACTCTGGTTTCCCAATATCTTTTTAAAAACATTTATTCATTTATTGAACTTTATTTTAAAAATTTAAATAGAACACTTGTGATTTTCTTACAATATAGTTTGATGGTATTTAGATTCCCTCCCCTAGTCACATCTCTCTCCACTGTGACAAGCCCAGTTTAATGTACTCTCTTATAGATAACATGACCTATAAGTCTGATTTGTGTCCCCAAATGTCCTTCAGTGTGGGTCCATCCATTGGGCCCACCAAGAGTCCCATCCCTGTAAGATACTGTCTTTCCCCCTTCCAGTTGCCACCAATTGCCAAAAGTTCTTTAAGCTGGGTTTGGATTTCTTCCCCAGTTCCCCATATCTATGCTGGGATTTTGTCTGGTTTAAGCTTGTATGGGACTTGTCAATGCTGACACCACTGCTGTGAGTTCATATGAGTAACTGACCAGTTTTCA